TCCAGCCCACGGGGAATTGAACAATGATCTCGAATCTCGTCAAAGTCGTGATGATCGCCCGCGCGTTGCTGTTGAGTGCGTGTTCGTCGGGGTCGTCGGGTGTGAGCAGCGACCCCTGTTTCACTGGGGGATGCCAGGCGTTCGGCGACCATAGCCCTGGCAAGGCGGCCAAGATGAGTTTTGGCGGCAGTGGGTTGGGCAGCAGTTATGGGGAGTATGGGTCGGGGTTGTTGCATGATGAGTGATTAAGCATAGGGCTGCTGCGCAGCCCAACGCGGGGCAAGCCCGCTCACCACAAAGGGGAGGGGGTTTAGGCTTTGGCCTGGGCAAGCACAGGTAGATGCCCAAGCTCACGCCATGATGGATTTCGCCAGTGGGGGGTTAACGGGCAGTGACCGTGCCTCTATGGAAGATCTCGCGTCGGGCGCGGCGGCTGATGTTTTCGTGTTTGCTCAGCGCATAGAGTTCATCAAAACGACTGCGATCAATCCCTTCATAGTTGCCCAATGCGTCCATGACCATCTGATCGTAATCCTGCTCGATCACGAACCGGAAAATTTCCCGCCGATAGAAAAAACCAAACTGAAAGGCCAGCACCTCGCTCAAGTGTTCGGTCGGGCTGAGGAAGCAGTTTTCCAGGTCGATGGCTTTGGTGTGCTCGGGTTGCGCCAGGTTGACCATCACATTGTTGGCCCAGAAATCCATGTGCACGACACCCTTGCCGTGCAGGGCATGCAGTAATTTGAATGACACGGTGATCAGGCTGCGGATGTCGCGCTCTTGCTTGAGCCATTCCAGTCCGTTGAGGTAGCCGTCGAGCAGCTCGGTGAAGATGAAGAATTCCTGGATCAGGCCAAACACCGACTTTCTGTAGCCGAAACCGTACAGGCTGGCGACAGGAGCACCGCGTTTGTGTGCGGTGTAGGTGTTGAGAACTTCTTCGACCGGCCAGTCGAACGTGCCGTCGCGCTTGGAGCGGCCGAACGTGACGCGCAGTTTGGGCCGAAGGCTATCGAGTGGTTGGGATTTGGCGAACAGGTCGTTCTCCATCCCTTTCAGCGGGGCGCTGACGCGGTCTGTCAGTTGGTAGCGCGTGTCGATCAGGTTCTGAATCGCTTGCTGGGTGCTGTCGTCAGCGCCTTGCGTAGTGAAGACCGTAGCGTTGCGATGGGTGAGTGTCGATGGGAAGCTCTTTAGCACGCAGCTGTCGGGAAAGCTCAAAACACATCCTTGTCATTCATAAATATGACAAATATGTTACAGGTTGGCAGCATTGGATCCAACCTGAACCTTTCCTGAACGGAAATTAAATAAGGGCGTCAATCGCCTTTTTTTCCTTGACTCGGCTTGAGTGTTATGGGTCATTTCGACTGTGGGCGAATGGCGCGTGGGTCGTTTTCAGCAAAAAATTACCGTGAAAAATATCAGGCACGGTGCAATAATGGCTTAGGGCCATTATTTTACTTTCGTAAGTACTCTTGATGAAAACAACCTTTTCCGCGAAATTGTTTATTGTTTTTATTGCTTCCCTGCTGGTCTGCGTTGTTTATTTTCTTATTGATGAGTTCCCGTAGCGTTGTTCATGCTCGGTGCGACTGTTTGTATTGTCGAATGAAGAGCCTGCCGAGTACGAAGACACTGCCTAAAACCAGTCCTAAAAAGGCGCCCATAAAGGCAAACTTTTTGGTGCTTTTAGTCGTGGACGTCTTTACATCATCAAGCGTGTTGAATGCTTTTAGTGTATTGCCTGCGGCCAATGCTGGCAGGTTAAGCGCTATCGCTTCGGTGTTGGCAATATCCATGGCGGATTTCAACTGGGCAGACGCCGCCGCTGCCGTCGTTGCGGTGGTTGATGCAACATACAGGACTGGCTCATTCCCACCCGATTTAGGTGGAGCGTCTTTCAAGGTAACGGATTTGGCTGCCATCACACCCATGGCAGAGTAGAAAATATCATTCTGTATGGTGCTGTACAGCTTGGTTTCCAATGACAGTGGACTGGCTTTGGCTGGCGCATCCTTTTCATTGATTTCTTTATATAAGCTGTAGAGCGACGGTTTGGTGATGTAAGTGCTGGCAGTCCACTGTTCAGGCGAAGTTGCAGAAAGGGCCAGAGAAGCAACAGTGCCCGCTACGGTGGTTACAATAACCGTAATCTTGCTATGCCACAGAGCTTGAACAAGTGGTATCAGATCGATTTCATCATCATTGGAACGGACGTTTGAATTCGTTGGACTGCTCACGAAAAATTCCTTTATTTGCATTCTCAAATTGTAGAGAAAAAAACACACTGCGCCCATGTAAAAGTACGCTTTGTATTAGATGCGAATAGTTCTTGCCTGGTGGGTTCGGCGGGCCTCTCTTATAGAGTCGCGCCGACCCACTCCACCTGCCGCAGGATCATTCCTGCGATGCATTCATTCAGATACCGCCGCTCAATGCCCGCCGTGCATTCTCCGTGCGATGAGATAAACGCCGAGCCCCACCAACGCCGTCACCGCACCGATGTATCCGGTACTCGTCCATCCCAACCCAGCCGTGATCGCCATCCCGCCAAACCACGGGCCCAGCGCGTTCGCCAAATTGAACGCGGCATGGTTGGAAGCCGCCGCCAGGCTAGGGGCTTCGTGGGCGATATCCATCAAGCGGATCTGCAACGGCGCTGCCAACGACACCATGGTGCCGACCAGCCCGATGCCAAGCAGCACGCTCCACAACGACCCTGCGGCAAACGGGAAGAACACCAGCACCGCCATCGACCACACCAGGATCAAGCCGACTGCACGGAATTGCATACGGTCAAACAGCTTGCCCCCGGCGATATTGCCGATAATCCCACCGACGCCAAACGCGGCCAGGCCAAACGGAATCCATTGGGGCGACACTTTGGTCACTTCGAGCATGGTCGGCGCCAGGTAGCTGAATACGCAGAACATGCCCGCAAAGCCGATGGCACCAATGGCCAGGGCCATCCACACCTGCGGCTTGGTAAAAGCCCGCAGTTCCTTGCGCGGGTCGCTGCGCTGTTCGTCTTGGCGGTGGGGCACGAACTGCCAGACCAAGGCGATGGTGCACAGGGCAATTACGCTCACCAACGCGAACGCCGAGCGCCAGCCCAGGTGCTGGCCCAGGAAAGTGGCGATGGGGTTGCCGAGTAGCATGGCCAACGTCAGTCCCATCATCACCCGTGCTACGGCGCCGGCGCGTTTGTCGTTGGGCACCATGCTGGAGGCGACCACCGCAGCAATACCGAAGTAAGCACCATGGGGCAGGCCGCTGATAAAGCGGAACGCCACCAGCGAGCCGAAGGTCGGCGTGAACGCAGTGGCCAGGTTACCCAGGGCATACAGCCCCATCAGTAACAACAGCATGTGTTTGCGCAGCAGCTTGGCGCCGAGGATCGCCAGCAGTGGCGCGCCGACCATCACGCCCAGTGCGTAGGCGCTGATAGCGTGGCCGACCTGGGGTTCGCTTAAGCCGAGGTTTTGGGCAATGTCGGGCATCAAGCCCATGATGGCGAATTCGCCAGTGCCGATAGCGAAAGCACCCACGGCCATGGCCGCTTCCATTTTGGCGGCACTGCGCGCGGGCAGCACGTGCCCGGGAGTTTGGTGGATAGACATGGATCGCTCTGTTGAGATGGATAACACGAAGGAGAGCCGCCGATGCTACGCACGCAGCGGCGAACCTGTCTAGAACAGCGATTTACGGCAGAGTTCAACGGCGCTTTGAGATCCGTCTTATTCTCCGGCTCGCATGCGCGCCGTACGCTTGCGGTGATGAAACTCAAACATTTCCTGCAACCTCTCGACTCGTCCTTCTCCACGCCCAAAGCGGCCCGCAAGCTGTTGCGCCTGTTCGCCCTGGCGTTGGTGCTGGGTGTGTACGCGGGCGCCTACAGCTATTTGCGCGCCGCGCTCAGCGAGGAGATTTCGTTGCGGCGCAGCTATATGAATGAGGCGGTTTCCGATGCCCAGAGTTTCTTTGTCAGCCGCCAGACGCTGCTGAAAAGCCTGGGCCTGTCGACGGTGCGGCATGTGACGGCGCCCGTGGGCAACCTCAATAACGTGCCCGCCGAAGAGGTGCATATTACCCTGGGCGAGGCGGGCAATATCTGGAGCCTGTGGCTGACCCGGCGCATGCTCGACTATCTGGAGGCCAACCAGGTCAATCTGATTTATGTGGCCCAGCGTGCCGAGCCTGGGGTGGAACGCTTGTATACCGTCGGCCCAGCACCGCAGGCTGTGCCACAGACGGTGTTGCAGCGGCTGATGGCGGTGGATACCGGCAACGAGTCGCTCAGCGATGAGCTGTGGCTCACCGAGCAAAGCCGGCAGGATTCGCCGCTGTATATCTTTACGCGTCTGGACGAGCGCAGCCCTGCCTCGGGTTGGCTTGGCCTGGAAGTGGACGCCCCCGACCTGATCAACGCCCTGCAGCATGAAAAAGCCGGGGACTTCATGTTGCTCGACGGCACGGGCCAACTGATTTTCAGCAGTACGCCCCAGCAACCATCGGCGGCGACGGCGCTGCACCAGTATCACGCCACGGCCTGTTTCGGCTGGGAGGGCAGTCGCTGGTTGCCGGACCGCCTGGCCATCCGCAAACACTTGGGTTTTTCCCAATGGCAGATCGTCTACAGCCTCGAGCTGGGTTCGTTGTTGCCTAGCCTGGCCGTGCCGATGCTGGTGTGCCTGCTGCTGTGCGTGCTGGTGAGCGTGTTGATGGTGCGGCTGGTACGACGTATCGATCAGCGATTGATCATCCCGGCGGCCAATCGCATTGAAGCCCTGGTGGAAAGCGAGGCGTTCAGCAGCGCAGTGATTCGTATCGCGCCTGTTGCCCTGTGCGTACTGCGCCGCAGTGACGGCGAGGTGGTGCTGGAAAACCCCCTGTCGCGCCAATGGCTGGGCAACGCTCGGGAACGCGAGCAATTGTGTCACGACTGGATTCGCCGGGCCTTTCACGCCGCCGAACAAAGCAACACCGAAGAACTGCAAATGGCCGACGGCCGCCACTTGTTCCTGAGTTTCGCACCCACCCGCTACCAGCGTGAAGAAGTGTTGATTTGCGCGTTCAGCGATATCAGCGAGCGCAAGCAGGTGGAGCTGGCCTTACAGCAGGCACGCACCCTGGCGGATGCGGCCAATGAGGCCAAGACCTTGTTCCTGGCCACCATGAGCCATGAAATCCGCACGCCCTTGTACGGTGTGTTGGGCACCCTGGAATTGCTCGCCCGCACCGACCTCAACAGCCAGCAGCGTGGCTACCTGAATGCCATCGAGGGCTCGTCGGCGAATCTGCTGCAATTGATCTGCGATGTGTTGGATGTGTCGAAAATCGAGGCGGGGCAACTGTCCCTCGAACTCAGCGTGTTTTCCCCGCTGGAGTTGGTGCAAGAGGTGATTCAAGGGTATGCGGGAGCGGCCCAGAGCAAGGGTTTGCAGTTGTTTGCCTGCCTCGACCCGCAACTGCCGGACCATGTGCGAGGCGACGTTACGCGTATCCGCCAGATTCTCAATAACCTGCTCAACAACGCGCTGAAGTTCACCGAGAGCGGGCGCATCGTATTGCGCTTGCGCCTGGAGAGCCGCGAAGGCGAGCGCGCCCTGTTGCAGTGGCAAGTGGTCGACACCGGCAAGGGGATTGCCGCGCACGACCAGCAGTACCTGTTCGAGCCTTTTTTCCAGGCCAGTGGCAATGCCAATGTGGTCGCGGGCACCGGCCTTGGGCTGTCGATCTGCAAGCGTCTGGTGCACTTGATGAACGGCACGCTGCGCGTGGTCAGCGAGCCAGGGCTGGGCAGCAGTTTTACCTTCATCCTGCCGTTGGAACAGGTTGACGAGTACGCCGATGAGCCGTGGGCGTTGCCGTTGCTGGGGGAGCGGGTCTACGTGGTGTCGCCAGTGCGCGAGTTGGCCGAGAGCATGGGCGGCTGGTTGCGACGCTGGGGCGCACGGGCGCAATTGGGTGTACCGCACTCGGCCGAGGCCGATCCCGGCGCGGTGCTGGTTGAGCTCTATCCCGGCCCGGTCGATCCGGGCCAACGGCTGCATTGGGGTGGCCCGCGGGTGATAGTGGGCACCGATGAGCATGGCGTCTACCCAGGGCCCGTGGCCTGCTGGCAGATCGGCTTGAACAACCTGCAGGCCCTCAATCGCGCGGTCAGCCGGGCACAGGGCATCGAGGAAAACCGTTCGCCCACCCCCTGCGAGGCACCGGCCGAGATCAACCTCAACCTGCGCCTGCTGGTGGCCGAAGACAACCTGATCAACCAGTTGATCCTGCGCGATCAACTCGAAGAACTCGGCTGCACGGTGGTGCTCGCCGGCGACGGCATTGAAGCCCTCTCGCTGTGGGGCGAAACCGCGTTCGACATGATCCTCACCGACGTCAACATGCCGCGCATGAATGGCTACGAACTCACCGAGCAACTGCGCCGCCTGGGATGCTCGCTGCCGATCATCGGCGCTACCGCCAATGCCATGCTCGATGAAGCCGAGCGCTGCCTCAATGCGGGCATGGACCACTGCCTGGTCAAGCCCTTCACCCTGCGCGCGCTCTATCAGTGCCTGCAGCCTTACCAGAGGAGCGTGGTTTGAGTGCCTATCGCGTGCTCATCGTGGAGGACCATCCCTTTCAACATGAGTACCTGATCAACGTGTTCCAGGCCATCGGCGGCTTTGACGTCGACGTGGTGTGGGACGGCGCGAGCGCGTTGCAGCGCCTGGCCCGCCAGCGCTACGACCTGCTGCTCAGCGACTTGATGATGCCGGGGATGGACGGCGTGCAATTGATCCAGCAACTGGCGCACCTTAAAGCCCCACCGGCCCTGGCGCTGATGAGCGTGGCCTCGCGACGCATGCTCGTTGGTGCCGGCCAGGTCGCGGGGAACCTGGGCCTGACCGTCGCCGGGTTGATCTCCAAACCGGTGCGCGAGCCCCAGGTGCGCACCCTGCGCGATTGCCTCGACAAACTCGCCGAACAGGCGCGCGCGCCGTGCTGCCACCGCGGCGTCAACCTGCCACGGGAGAACCTGGTGCGCGCCTTGGCCAACGGAGAGATCCAGGCCTGGTTCCAGCCAAAAAAGTCGTTGCAGGACGGGCGCATCGTCGGCGCCGAAGCCCTGGCGCGTTGGGTCCACCCGGTGGAGGGGCTGTTGATGCCGGGTGAGTTCCTGGGCGAAATCGAACGCCTCGGCCTGGAAACCCAACTGCTGACCTGCATCCTCGCCCAGACCCTGACGGCCCAGGCCCAGTGGGCGCAACTCGGCTACCGGCTGCCGGTATCGATCAACCTGCCTACCCATCTGCTCGACCAGTGCGACCTGGTCGACCGTCTGCTGGCCCAGGTTCAGCACCGGGATGCCGAGCCCCGGCAAATCACCTTCGAATTGATGGAAAGCTCCACCACACAGTTGTCCAGTAACTACTACGCTGGAGCATGCCGCTTGCGCATGATGGGTTTCGGCCTGGCGCAGGACGATTTTGGCAAGGGTTTCAGTTCCTACTTCAACCTGGTCTCCACGCCGTTCAATGAAGTGAAGATCGACCGCTCGCTGGTGCATGGCTGTGCAGAAAATGAAAGCCTGGCCTCCGCCTTGCAAAGCATCGTCGAACTGGGCCGCAAGCTGGGGCTGACCACCATTGCCGAAGGCGCCGAAACCCAGGCGGAACTGGCGGTATTGCGGCGAATTCGCTGCGACCAGGTGCAAGGCTTCCTGATTTCTCAAGGGGTTGCCGCGGATAAATTCAGTGCGTTGCTGATAGAAGATGGCCCTGCGCCAGCACTTATCTGAGCGGCCAGGGTCACACACTCAAGAAGCCCGAAGGAAGGGTCGCCCGGTCAGCCGGGCGTTATTGGCCAATGCCGGGATCATGCATAGGCTCCACGTCCTGATTCAGGCTTCTGCGGTACTGACGATGAAACATGCAAGCCTGCGCCTGGATAAGCTGGCACAGAGTTCCCAGCGCTTGAACACCGCCCTGTTGCTGCTCACCGGGCTCGTCCTGTTGCTGTCCAGCAGTTGCTACTGGGCGGTCTCGCGGTTGCTCGATGCCGAGCAAGAAAAGGTCGAGTTTCACTTCGCCCGCGTGGTGGAGATCATCCACGAACACGAGGCGTTCCTGCGCAACGTCGCGGTTGGCTACAGCCGCAGCAATGCGCCGCCGCTGCCGTCGGTGCAATCCACCCAGGTGGTGGAGCTGCAGCGCGACGCCGGGCACGTGGTGGTGCAAGCCAAGGGCTTTGCCTTGTCGTTGCCATTTACCTTGTCCCACGCGGTGGGGTTCTCGGCGGATGATACGCGCCGCGCGCTGGCGTTTGGCGTGCAATTGACCGACTACTACGGCGGCTACTGGGCCAGTTCCTTTTATGCCTCGCCGCAGGTGTTCGTGTTTACGCCCAATGACGTCGCCAGTCTGGCCGTACCGGGCATTGGCGGCCTGCGCCAGCATCAGCCGTTGTTGCGCGAACACTACCGCGAGGTGGTGAGCCGCCTGCACCAGTTACAACAAAGCCAAAGCCTGTTGCTCACCGACAGCCGCGTACGCTGGATGCGTGCGCCCTTGCAGCTGTATCCACGCAGCCGCAGCGTGGTCGCGATGATCGGCCTCGATGCGCCCGCCGCCGTGCTCCCGGCCAATCAACCCCAGGGCCTGCTGACTTTGGCGGCCGTGGTGGATACCTCCCAGGTCGATGAGTTCGAGCGGGTGCTGCAGCGCTCGGTCTACAACCAGTTCACCCTGATCTCACCCCAGGGCGATGTCTTGCTCGGCAGCCTGGGTGATGAACACATGGCGCCCCTGGGCCTGAGCTTCAACAGCCAGGGGTTGCGCTTCAAGATGCTCAGCGAGGGCGGCGAGCACTGGACTGGCCTGTACGCCATCAGCTATCAGGATTTCCTGCGCTACGCCAAGTGGCCGCTGTTGGGCCTGGGCCTGACGTTTCTGGCGGCCGTGCTGCTGGGCTGGTGGATCAACCATTGGTACAAGACCCGCATTGTCAGCCCGGCCCAACGTGCCCAGGAGCGTCTGTTCGATAGCGAGGCGTTCAACCGCATCATGCTGCACAACGCCCCGGCGGGCCTGTGTGTGGTGCGGCGCAGCGACTGCCAGTTGTTGCTGGAAAACCAACGTGCCTTGCTCCTGGGGGGCACCGCACCGCTGGTGGCCGTGCTCAAGGCCAACGACGGCCCGGACACCCCCGGCGAGATGTGCCTGGCCGTGCAGGGCCGCTACCTGCAAATTGTGGTGGTGGCCGCGCGCTACGAAGGCGAAGACGTGTTTCTGTGCGGCTGCAACGACATCACCCGCCATGTGGACGAAACCTTGCAGTTGAACCAGGCCCGCCAGGAAGCCACGGCCGCCAATGAAGCCAAGACCGTGTTCCTGGCCACCATGAGCCATGAGATCCGCACGCCGCTGTACGGCGTGCTGGGCAACCTGGAACTGATGGCCCTGACCGCCATGAGCGAGCGCCAGCGCCAGTATCTGGAAATTATCCAAGGCTCGTCCACCGTGCTGTTTCAACTGATCAGCAACATACTCGACGTGTCGAAGATCGAGTCCGGGCAAATGGCCGTGGAAGCGGCGCCGTTCAATCCGCGGCAACTGGTGGAGGAGGCCGTGCTGGGCTTTACCGCCACGGCACGCAACAAGGGTTTGCAGATTGATGCGGAAATCGACCCGCAAGTGCCCCACCAACTGCTGGGCGATGCGGGGCGTATCCGCCAGATCCTGCATAACCTGCTGGGCAATGCGATCAAGTTCACCGAGTCGGGGCGCGTGCGTTTGCGGCTGACCGTGCAGGCACTGCTCGCCAATGAAGTCGCCCTGCAATGGCAAGTCACCGATACCGGCGTGGGCATTCCGGAAAAGGCCCTGGATCAATTGTTCAAGCCGTTCTACCAAGTGGCGGGCGGCCAGGATGGCAACGGGGCAGGGCTGGGACTGTCGATCTGCTCGCGCTTGAGTGAGTTGATGGGCGGCAGCATGCGCGTGGTCAGTGAGCCAGGGTTGGGCAGCAGCTTTTCGCTGTTCATCACCTTGCCAATCGTTGACGGTGCCCCCTTGGTGGCCAGCCCCGAACTGGTGCCGTCGTGCCTGGATGCGCCTTGCCTGAACGTGCGGGTGCTGGTGGCCGAAGACAACCCGGTCAGCCAGGCCGTGCTGCAAGAGCAGCTTGAAGCCCTCGGCGCCCAGGCCACCGTAGCGCGGGACGGCGAGCACGCCTTGCAAATCTGGGGCTCGCAGCCGTTCGACCTGGTGATCACCGATATCAACATGCCGCGCCTCAACGGCTATGACCTGGCCCGCGCACTGCGTGAGCAGGGGGTGCAGGTGCCGATTATTGGCGTGACCGCCAACGCCCTGCGCGAGGAAGGCGAGCGTTGCCTGGCGGTCGGCATGAACGCCTGGGTGGTCAAGCCGCTGAGCATGAGCACGCTGCGTCAGGCCTTGATGGCGCACTGTCGCCGCGCCAGCGCCCTGGCGGTGCCTCCGGCGGAGCGTGACCGCGACGGCTGGATCGAGTTGTCCCCGTCCATGCGCCAATTGATGGGCGATACCTTGCTGGAGGATGTGCAGCACATTGAACAGGGCCTGGCCGCCGGCGATGCCGACCAGGTGCGCCAGCGCCTGCATAGCCTCAACGGTGCGCTGGCCAGTGTGCGTGCCGGGGTGCTCTCCAACGCGTGTCAGACCTGGGAAAACACGCTGTACGAAGGCCCCCTGGATCACTACGCGACCACGCAGATCCGGGCGTTGTGTGCGCGGCTGACGGCAGTGGCGCACTGCTTGCTGGCAGAGTCGAAAGCTCACTACAAGGAAGATAAATAATGCGAGAAATGAACGTCGTCATTGCCGACGACCAGCACTTTCCAGCGGACGCGAAGCACGGCGCTTCGAGACCTTCCCGTTCTCCCTGTGGAGGGAGCGTTGGACGGCACAATTGTTGACCACTCAGGAGACTCAGCAATTTAAGTTTCAGAAGTCCGGGATTCGCAAGAGACTCCTCTGGTCCTACCACCACCAAGCCCCCCATCGGGTCCTCCACCACCAAGCCCCCCGCCATCGGGTCCTCCATCGTCAGGCACCCCTCCATCGAGCCTCCCTCTGCCTGGCCCTCCTCCAACT